TATATATATATATATATATATATATATAATATTAATTCAATTTTTGTATTTGATAATATTACGAATTAGATTAAATATACAAAATGACATACAATATTAAAATTATTTGATAGTTCGTCATATTATTTTATTTTAACATATAAAATAATATTCAAAATACATGTAAATACTTGTTGTTAAATAACATATCTAAAACAGTTCAAATCATTTAAAATTTGATATGTATGATCATGAGGGTTATAACATTAGATACAACATTTTGATTGGTTAAATTTATATTTTATAAAAAAAATATCTTAAGTGGCATTTCACTAATTTAACACAATCTCAACCCCTCTCCCCCCACCTCTCTCTTTCTCTCTTTCCTTTGTCTTTCTTCTCTTTCTCTCTTTCTCTCTCTCTCTATATATATATATATGAAGAAGGATCATTTTACTCTAAGAGTAAGTCTACCTAGACTTACTCCATTCAATAACTAATATTCTAAATATATAAATATATAAACACTAGTGTTTTAAAGATAAGAGATTATAAAAAATCTCAAAAATATATTAATTAAAGAAAAATAGCTAAAGACAATCCGATTGAATAATAAGGCCCAAAATATTATAGTTTGAGATAGTTATTGTATTTAATATATAGGATGAATATAAATATTTTAACTTGTATAAAACAAAAATTTATTTTATATAACTAAGATTTATTATAAATAAATATTTTTAAATATAAAAAATTATATTGTAATTAAAATTTTTAATAATTTAATTTTTTGTTACATATAAATTATATTTTAGACTTATAATAAATTCAAAGAAAAAATGACATCTTGTACCTCTATAAATTTATTTAAAAATAAAGTAACAATAAAGGTAATAGAAGTTACATAATAATGGAGGATTTATAATAAAAGGGGGAGTGATTTGGAGTAGTTATAGGAGGAAAAATAGTCCAAAGAAATGTATACACTTAAAAGGAATATAACTTTTATTATATGATGAATAGATAATTTATATTGTGATATAAAAATATTGACTAAACTTCACTTTGTTTCATGTATTTTTGTCAATCTACAATTTTGATTTTTTTTTTAATTTTAAAATAGAGATATTTAGTCTCCCTATTTATAAGAATATGAAATTTTGGTCCTTCCATTAACTTAATATTTGTTGATCGTTAAATTTTAATATTGTCTAATGATCTTTTACCATTTAAGTGGCGTGAAGTTTAAGAATGATTTTTTTTAAAAAAAATAATATGCAAAATATTCTTGTTTGTATTTATTTTAACAAATGATTGATATTTATTTTCTTAATAAATCTTTTTATCTTCAAGTGTCATGCCACTAAATGTGATATTAATAAATGCTAAAAACTTAATTATTAATCGATGTCAATTTGACAGAAAAATAAAAATTCCGTATTTCAAAATTAGGGGACTATAAATTATGTTATAATATAAATTATTTACTATAAATTTAAAATATAATTTATAGTTTAAAAATATTTATTTATATAAATTTTAAATATAATTTATATATTCAAATATAATATTTATGTATATATATTATTATAAATTTTAGTTATATATAATAAATATTTAACCTATGCATTGTATAAATTAAAATAATAATAATAATAACATGAAATTATTAATAGAAAATTAATTTAAATATATTTTTTAAGTCTCTATAAATAATTTATTTTTATTTTAGTTCTTATAAAGCTTTTTTTCCATACAAAAACTGAAATTTATTATTTTTGATTTGCATTAATATGTAACACTTATATATGTTAACGAGTGTCACTTATCTATTCAAAGTGATGTCATGTTAGCGTGATACTTCTAACTGTTTTTCTAAATCCTTAAGTGTGTGTTTGCATCCGAGTTCTAATGTGATTTTTCACGTTTAACTTGAAGTGATAAATAGTTACTTCTACTTAAATCCATATTTGAACGTGAAGAGATGAAAGAATTGCGTTAGAAAATGAAAAGCAAACACACACTAAATTAAGCAGAATTTTGACCGTTGAGGTAAATGATGTGTTGTGCAATAATCTTGACATTATAAGTAACATGGAAAATCAAATGATATTGATTATAATTAAAAAATAAATAATTAAACCAAAAATTTGGAAAACAATCGAAATTACTGAACAAGGATGTGCCTAGAACGTATCAGCAATTAACAAGCTATGCATTACTGTATCCTACATCTGTATGCCAATCTTTTGGGACAGCACCTTAGAATGGGATAAACATTCATCAATTAGTTATTATATGTATTGCGCCAACAAAAAATCGGAGGGCTGGGAGTAATATAATAAACTCGCATAATCTTATTTGATATAAACATACATATAATTAAACTGTAAAAATTTTCCTTACTTTCTTCAATTTCCTCTGGCATATGGGGCATGTGCAAGCTTCTGCAGCAATTCTACAGAGGGGCAAGTAAGGTTATACTTACAATTTTCTAAACATAATTACTGCCAAAGTAGTATTGATTGAGACAAGCTTTTCACTTTGTGTGTATAAAATTATAAATGTAAAAGCAAGTGCTATATGTGATTTATGTGTATGTATATATACAGAGAGGCAGCTAAGAAATTAATGTACTAAATGGCAATTCTATTATTATCATTTTTATCAATAATTATTGGCCATAAAAATTAGTTGCATTTAGTATATGTATATGTTAATAATTTTGGCCAACTTGAACTTTTAATGTAATGAGAGGAAACAATGTTAAATATAAGTGAGTGTGTTACCTTGTTGCACATGCAAAGCATGTTGCATAATGGCCACATGGGAGAAAGAAGCAATCCCTTGGGGCAGCAGAGCAAATGACACACAAATGCTTGAGATCATTGCTAGTTTCCCCTTCCCTTGATGACTTTCCTTCCATAGAATTTTCTGCAAGCCACAGTTTAATATCCTCTTCCTCATTAAAGAGAGATTCATAAGATGAACACCAACTTGAAAGATCATCATCATCTTTAGTAGGCAGCAATCGAGTTTGTTCTGAAATCACTTGCACTTGTTGGAATCCTTCCCTTTCTTCATCACCATTTGCTTGGAACATTTTGAAGAATTTCAGGGCAAGTAAGAGTAGCACAGCTACCACACCTGTATTAATCACATTATGTACATTCCAAAAATAAGTTTAATTTTGTGCATCTTTGGATATCAGTTAATCTGATTTTAAGTAAATGTTACATGTTAAGTTTTACGTTGAGAAAATGATTATAAGTCTATAATTAATTTTGAGTTGAAACAACTATAGATAGTTCCTATGTTTGTTGGATCAAAAATTTTATACCGACTTTTACAACTAATTTGATTTTAGAATGAAAATATTCAAACATGAATCACATCACTTGGATCAATTTTACAACCATCATCCAATAAGGCATGATTGGTAATATAAATTTTAAGATAGTTACTATAAAAAGTAAACTCACCATATACTTGAAACTAAATGATAATGTAAAAACTTTTTACACCGCAGCACTATTTACTCTTCAAAAATTGAGTCCTCAAACTTCTGATCAAGTTCTTTTGACTAATCAGGAGATGTTGAGAGCTTGAATTACCTGATCCTATGAAATATATGATCCATCTGGGTTCATAAGACACATTCACATCAAACATTTCTTCATCAGAATCACCCTGAAAGATAGAGTAGTTAAACAGATTTTGAGACCTATAGAATATGCTAGGATTTCGATTATGGAAATGCTATAGACAACTAATGTGTCTAACCATTACATTTGTGCAAATTATGATGTGACATAAATCCACCTATATAGTAAAATGTAATCCTAATATAAACTTGAAACTTTCAGATTGTGATTATAAACCTAAGAAAGTTGGATCCATTTACCTCTCTAAGACCTGGAGTTGTTAATAGAGCAGTGTCTGACTCCAAAAGAACAAGGTTTAATACACATGAGCCGTTATCCAGAGAACATCTATGGTTCGTGCTTGTTGTATTGTAGAGAAGTGAATTTAAAGTGAAGTTCAATTCTACCTGTATGTAAATGTTACTGTAATGCTCCATAATGAAAAGACATTATCCATTTAATGTTATCATGGTAATGCCATAAGAATTTGAATGAAGAACATAAATATAATACTCTGATCGGTACTGATTGTTTCAATAGATATACCTCCACATTTTGAAGGTTCTTATTGCCAACTGCCACATAATAAGCAAATGAATGTGATATTTTTTGTGTGATGCTGCCACTTCCTGAAAGTAAATAGACAAATACATATAGATGCTAACATCAGATCAAAGAAAAACACAGAGCAATGAGCGTAATTTTCACAGGTCAGATGTACCATAGATAATATTCCAGTACAATGTTGCATTAGAGAATAATGGGTCTTCTTTCAACTCAAAAAGGCCTTCTCTTCCTGCATGTTTATGTAAGATTAGTGAGTATAGTATGCATGCAATATATATTTAATCAAACTTAAAAGAACCACCCTAAATTAGGTGTGGAGAAATAGGCTATGTCAAATTTTTCAGGCACAGTTGTCCTGTGATGTCAAGAAGATTTTAAAACTGTAAATTTCATGACTAAATATGAAAGAGGAAAATTTTACATGGTTAATTATAGAACGCTATATAAAGTAACTAATGTGAGTCTTTCTATCTAGATTAGATCTAATGAATTGTAACTTGTGTGATCAAAAAGTAGAAAAGCACCTTTAGCAATTACGAGGAATAAAGATGCTAGTGGAGACTTAACACTGTAAAAAACTTTCAATTGGGAGTCTTTGTTCAGGTAAAACATCCATTCCTGCAAATCAGATGAAATAGAATGTTTATAGTTTGTAAGAAAATAGAAACCTGTAAAGCCTAATTTTAGACCAAAACTCTAGAAACAGAAAGAGAATACAAAATGAAAACGTGCCTTCTGAAATTTTGCTGGTAACGATGCATTATACATCTCAGTCCAGTTGATTTTCACATCTAGTGGAGGAGTTCCATCAAAACCATAGAGCATTAGACCAGGTTTTGGCTTATCAATTTGTTCCACCTGTTTGTCAATGAATCATATGAGATTAATATTAGAACAACAACACTAGAAGCAACAAATTAAGGACTTTTCAGTACTAAATAGAGATACAAAGTAATTAGCCAATCACCTTTATAGACTGCACTAACATTGAGTTGATTTTTATCAAACGTGAGCAGTGGGGTCCCAATTGTAAACTTACAGACCCATAAATACCAAGAGCAAGAGCAAAGGATGCTGGTTAAGAAAAATAGACAGACTAAATACATAATTCATATTCAACTTGGTTAACAAATTTCCCATTTTCATTATACAAGATAAGAATCAAAAGTTACGAGCACACAAAAATGGTTAATCAACATCATCCTGCTTTCCAAATCAATTAGAAGAAAGCAAAGCAAAACAGAACATAAAAGTCATTAAAGTAACTAAAAGGATATTTATTAGAGCACTTTACACTAAAATCCTTAAGGTGTTTTGATATTGAAGATGATTCCTTGCTTTTTTTTAATATTTACATCAATTCCCTTACAAGAGTACATAGTGTAATTTTTTTTATCGGTAAGAAAATTTACAATAATGGTAATTGAGTTTGAGTATAAAATCTTGTGTATAGTTATATACTATTCCAAAAACATTTGTCATAAGACCGATTTTAATGGTTCAATATACAACATAATATGTTTCTTCGATAATAAAAGTGTCAATGTATTATATAAAGGGTATTATTATTGTAATATTTTTCAAATAATTGAGGTAAATTAGTGCAAGGATAAAAAAGGAAGGGAATCTACGAAAATCTGACAAAATTTTTGGTGGTATTAGTGTAATTTTCTCTATTTAATAAGTGCAGTAGACAGTGCAGAAAAGGAGAAAAAAAAAACTTGAAAGTTGCCTTTATTTACCTTTTATTAGATAATGATGGAAAAATATGATCATTCCAACATCTTTAAATTTACTTAGGTTCATAATACTAATGTTTAAGTGGAGAGAAGAAGAAGAAGCTTTAGCTCAGCATGAACTAACCAACTACCCAGAATGGCACTATCACAGTGATGCAAGACTGAACAATGTCCCACGTGGAAACCATTGATGAATTTGTGTTTGAAATATGGATCCAATAAGACCTGGTGGTCACTCGTTCTTGGTTGTGTTGGATGTCATTGTTTGCACCTCCATGGTTGGTTTCCTCTGCTTGCAACTGAGAAGTAGATGATGGAGAAGTGGAAGAAGATGGATTATCAAGAGGGTTTGCTGCTAAAGAAGAAGGTGCAGATGCTTGATGAGTGTCAACACAAGACTCTTCATTCATTCTTAAAAGTGAGATGAGATGATAACCGAAAGATAATAATGATGAAGTATATAATTAATTGAACTTCTTTTCTTGTGAGCAACATGAAAGCAAAGTATGATATTTGGTTGTAAAAAACATTTCTCTGAACATCATGGAAGGATTCAATTGAATTCATTGGAGTTACAAAATGCAATTGCTAAGGTTGATAAACTTAGGTTTTGTGTGTGTGTGTGTGAGTGTGACCAACAAGTCTTATGATTATTTTTTGCATATGACGGGTAGTTGGAAGAGTGATTGAAAGTTAGATGGCACTTCATTGTTTGGCTTTAATTAATAGACAAATATTAAATAGTGATTGCGTTTTTCAACTCCTTGTTTGTTATTTGCAAAATAGAGTCGATTACTTTTTCTTTCTTTTGGTGTTGATGGATTGAATGATTTTCTTTCTTTCTTTAGTTCAATGACATTAATTGTGAACTCCTTTAACTTTTTCATTAAAAAGGGAGGAATTTGAAGAAAAAATATTTCTTTATTCTATTTGTCGATTCTTTTTCTTTATATAATAAAAAGAAATAAAATCTTCATTTTCTTTATTTGCTTGATTTCATTTTCATTTTTTGATTTTTCTTTTAGAAAGTTGGTTATACTTATGAGTCTAAGTTAATCTTACATTGCACTTTTTTATTTATATTTTTAATAGTTATAAAAAAATAAAATTTTAACTTTAATTTTTATTAACATATGTGTGTATATATATATATATAAATATATATTTCTTTGTTGTAACAAAAAAAATTAGTGGACTAGGATGTGTTACACATCCAAACCTATTTTTTCAGGTCGAGAAAAATTTGTACCTAAACTTATATCTAATCAAGATAGCTATGTCCATCAAAGTCAAATCAAAATTCAATAAATATTCATAGATATAAATTTAATTTTCATGTCTTGTTATAAACTTAATCCAATCTTAAAAAATTAAATATTACTTTTCATTTATATATACTATTATTTTAACCTAATGATTATTTGTTTAATGGGTCCTCCTTATTATTTTATGAAAAAGAAAACAGAAAGAAGAAATAATGATAAAAAGTTCAGGCAAAAAAGACGGCAATCCAAAGAAAAAAGAACGGAGGAAGGGAACTTTCATTATGATTTATGAGAAAGGAGGCAAGTTAATTATTTAGTCTTTTGTTTTTATCCACAAGCAAGTTATTTTGTGGTCTTTTGCTTTTTCTTTGCAAAATATGAAGCACTATGCGAATTTTTTACACAAATATTATTTTTTTTAAAAAAAATGCGAGTGGTCCGGCATCAACGCCCTCCGCTTCGACAAGTTCTACCTCCTCTGGAGCTTATGAAGGTTGGGGAAGAGGTTGATTCGCGTGATGATGTTCTTCTTCTTTGGACGGTTGCGTTGGTCATGGGTTTTTCTTGGAGCTTCTATGAGGTGGCGTCTTCTGTTGAGTGTGTTCACGGGAATAGGAAGGTGATGTTTGCGTTGCATTCTGAGTTTTTGAAGCTGGAGAAGGAAGTGTCCAAGTCCGGGTTGTAGAACGGGCCGTTCTGATTGGAGAACGACCCGTTCTCCATGCAGAACGGGTCGTTCACCATTAAGAACGGGTCGTTCACCATTCAGAACGGGCCGTTCTCCATGCAAAACGGGCTGTTCTACTTGGACAACGGGCCGTTCTCCAACCAGAACGACCCGTTCTGCTTGCAGTCGTTTTTCTTTCTTTTTTTATAATTTTTTTACAACTTTTTACGTCGGACCTTGTAATGTTCGACGTAAATTTATGTCAGTTTTTGCACTCGACGTAAATTTACGTCTCCTGCTTTGACGTCGAAGGTTTTTCCGACATAAAACCCCTAAAATAACCGACGTAGAATGTGTATTCTATACTAGTGATAAAAATTTAAGAAAAGTGGCATGAGATTTGGTTTGTTGCTTTCAAGTTTCAACAATCAAGAAAAGTAGTGTATATACGTAGATTATTTTTGGGTGACATAAGTTATGCCCGAACCAAAAATCAAGGGTTACTCTTTTGAGATATTGAAATTAATTCAAAAGAATAATTTATTGTATATATTACTTTTTTTCCCCTAAAGATAGATTTATACACTACAAAAAATTGGGTAATTATTAGCGGTTTTTTTCTGGCGGTTTCAATAAACCGCCAAAAAATATTACTTTTGTGGCATAAATATTAGTCGCAAGAAGTGACGGCATTTTCTAGTGGTTTCAAACCGCCAAAATGTTCAATTCCTTTTATTTCCGCATCTCAGTGGGTGACCAATGTGTTTCTTAGATTCAAAAATTAAAAGAAAACTAATAAAAATAATTTAAATAAAATAATATAAAAACAATTTCCTTTGTTATAAAAATATAAACCAAATTGAAATGCATTTTTACAATCCCTGCACGCATTCCTTCCTCTTACACGAAACTACACAAACCCATTGAGAATCTACTAGCGAGATCTAGTCTTTCGTTATCAATATTCATTTGTGCATTTGTTCAGAAATCCATTGAAGGTGAGTTTTGAAATATCTAATTGCATCGAGTTTACTCTATTTTCATTAATTTCATTTTGAAGAGAAACGCAAAACCCAGGAAGAAATCTGCAAGGAATCGATCGTACTGTGAAAAGTGATCGTTCGATGCGATCTGAGCTCGTAGATCGGTCTGAAGCTTCCATTTCGAGGATTTTTTTTAAGCATTCCTTTTCCTGGCTATCAGGTTAGATTTTGTTTTGTAATGCTCGATTTTTAATTTTCTTAATCATGCGGATTTGTACGAAGGATACACAAGTAGGGTTCGTCTATTCATATGGTGGTTGAATTGTTATGGTGGTCTGAAGCTTAATGCATATATAAAAATGAAAACTAGATAAGTTCATCTGAATGAACTCGTTGAGGTTGGTTGGTTGTTGTTTTTACAACTTTATGCTGTCCCTGGGTGTTAATTTTTTTAGTGCATAAACATTTCACTAAATTTTTTAGAATAAATTGAGGTTGGTTGGTTTTGAGTAAAACTACACATTTCACTTAATCTACGGAAGCATTCATTGATATATGGTTTCTTTATGTACATGTTTTATTTGTTCTAATTCTTTTTTTAATTCTGGCAGATATGAAATATTCCAACTAATGGTAAATCTACACTAAGAGGTTTATTCAGATGCTCAGATTGCTTAGCGACAGGGCGAATGAATTAACAAATATTGAGATATTGAATGTATTTCACTGGAGTTGCTATTGATGTATCACATGTTGTCACATAATTAGAATGTCATATTCTTCCTAGATAGCATATGGGAAACTAAGCTACTAGAATACTAGCTTTCCCATTCATTTGTATTGCAGACTATGTTGTGATGTGATATTAACATAAAATGGGACAGAAAAGTGACTAACAGAAAATGGAAGCTATGTTGTGATGTGATATTAACATAAAATGGAACAAAAAAGTGATTAACAGGCAAACAATGGAATTTAGCAACCTTTTTTTTTTCTTGTTATGTTCTATGGGAAAAAAACACACTTATGCTTATGTTTTTCTACGAAGCAGGTAATTGGTTGGGTGGTTGAATACCAAGATATTCTGATTGGGCTTGGAGTTGATGAGTTTTTAGCCCAAGTGTGCTCTGAGAGCGGTGCAATGGATCCTCTTATGAACTCTTATGTTGAGAGAATGCAAGCTACAACTAGGGTAATCCTCTTATTTTTAAAATGTGTTAATTTATTCTAGTAACTTAGTTTCCCTGGGTCCGGAGTGATGACACTACCAAGCGCATGGTTGTCTCCTCTTGCAATGGTTTGATATGGTTAGTATTTAGTTCTAACTGTTATTATATGATGTTCCCCTTATTATTCCAAGTGGTACTCTCATTACGTTAGGTTGAACCCTTGTCATTTTTCAAAGGGGTGTTAATTTTAAAAGATTAAATGAATTAAGACAGTAAAACCTTGAAAGGAAGGTTGATAGAAACTGGTTCAAAACACTCAGTTGTGGTGAATGTAGTGCACAATTCTTGTGCAGATATTGATGTCAGTGTCATATCAACACCTGAGGGGTGGATTTACTATGGAAGACAGAAAATTGAAACAGAGTTCTAAAACAAAAACGGCCCGTTCCACGTTAAAAAAATTACCACAACAATTTGTTTAAAACGGGCCGCTTCCAACATCTATTTCAACGTTAATTCTTAACGTCGGAACGGCCCGTTCTTGGCCCGTTTCACGTTAACAAATGCCACTCTGTTTCTTTAAGCAGAACGGCCCGTTCTGATTTCGGAACGGGCCGTTCCGCTTCCAACGTCAGCCCACATCTCCCCTGCAAACACGAAAAGAAAAAAACAATATAAAAGCAACTCAGAATTCGGTTCCCCGGGAACCGAATTCTGAGCTTAAACAGTGAATGGTTCTATCCCTGTAAATAAAGCTGCACAGTGATTAATTAAGTAATTTTTTTTTAAAAAAAATAATATTTCTGTAAAAAATTCAACACTATGCACAACATGCACCGTGTTATTTCTCACGGCACCACCCTCTAACTACAGCAGCTAAAAGCCTGACCAAATTTGTCTCGTTACCTTTTTATCTCACACTGTGTTATTATTTTAAGGAATATTTTACGAAATAATTGGGCCTTAGTTCATGTTTGATTTAATTTATTTGGGATAATGCAAAAAGAAATGGATAATATAACAAAATAAAAATGAAATAAATAATGAAAATGTAATAAAGTAAGTTGTGAGATCAAATTAATTTGTTATGGTGTAAATATTATTTCTTTTTATAAGAAATAAATAAATAATTTATCCAAACCAAAAAAAAATAGTTAAGACAATTTATTTTCATTAATAATAATAATGTCATGGAATTGAATTTTATTTTAAAAAATATCATTTAAATTGATTGATTTAAATACTAATATAATTAAATGACACTATGCTTAATTTAAGATATAACTTTTTTTTATCAATGAGTGTAATTTGTATTGTTAACAGATTAAAAAAAATGTGTCTACTTGTAAAATCATATAAAAGGAAATTAACAATCAATACATCTTAAAATAGGTAATTGTTTCTTATAATTAGAATAAAAGAAAAGTGTACACATTTGTTTTTTATATAAATGATTGAAGGAAATAACTATGTTTTATTTATTATGACTTGTCTTGTTAATTATATTCTTTTTGTTATGTTATTTAATTGCATCATCTTTAGTTAATGTGAGACTTAAAATTTTTTCAATATATTTCTTCACGTGTAACACTATTGGATTTGGTATGTAAATAAATGATGAATGACCCTTTTAATGATTTAGGATAGGTGGGACACGATTTTTTTTCAATACACCTCACTTCCAACACTATTGAACTTGGTAAATGACCCTTTTATACGAAATTTAGATATCTTTGATACCATCTTAAGAAAGTGGGTAAAAAGTCTAACTCAACTTTACAAAATTGGCTTATAAGGCAAAAGTTGTATTGTATATATATACTTTTTAATTATATTATCTCTAATTGATATAAAACTTGGATGTTTCCTAATAATAATTTTATCAAAATAGCTTGCTCTTTAAATAAATACATTACTTAGAATTATGCTTGTTGAATAATTTATAGAGGGACAAATTAGTAAAAAAAAATTAATTATTATTATATTAAAAAGTAAGAATATCATTTATTTTGAAATATGTTTCAAATGTTAAAATTATAGTCATGACGAGACGAAGTAAGTATTTGTTGTTAATCACCTGAGCGGGGCCTCCGTTAAGGTGACCCCCTCTCCCCCTACCTTTTCATCATAGGCATGGAAGGCCTAACTAGTCTTATCAAAAAAGCTGAAGAGGCCAATGACTTACATGGCATCCAGATTTGTCGCAAGGCTCCCAAGATCACCCACCTCATGTTCGCTGACGACGTTTATCTGTTTTTCAAAGCCACTCACCAAGAAGCTCAGACGGTCTCTAATATCATTAAATGCTTTGAGAATGCCACCGGTCACGTGGTCAACTTGGACAAATCAGACGTTGTCTTCAGCAAAAATACTCCTATTGAGTTACGTAGCACCATTACAGATGTTTTGGGAGTTCAGGAAAACAGCACACCAGACAAATATCTGGGACTCCCTTCTTTCATTGGGCGCAACAAAAGAGAGGCTTTCAAATTTGTTAAAGATCGTATCTGGAAAAGAATTAACTCTTGGAGTAGCAAACTTATATCCAAAGCGGGCAAAGAAATCTTTGTCAAATCCATCCTCCAAGTTTTTCCAACTTACACCATGAGCATATTTCTCCTCCCTCACTCTGTCACCGACTCTCTAGAGAAGATGGTCAACACCTTTTGGTGGAGTTCAAATGGCAGTAACAAGAAAGGCATCAATTGGCTAAACTGGAACAATCTATCAACCCCTCGCAAGGATGGTGGACTTGGCTTCAAGAATTTGGACACTTTTAACATGGCGCTTCTAAGTAAACAAGTATGGTGCATTCTTACTAACCCCGAAGCTCTCGTGATTCGTCTGTTGAAGGCTAAATACTTCCCTGATAAGAGTATTCTTGAAGCAAACTTAGGTCACAATCCTAGCTACACTTGGAAGAGCTTTTGGAAAGCTAAACACTTCCTCAATGATGGCCTCAGGTGGAAAATCGGTTCTGGTAAAAGCATATCTATTTGGAACGAGCCTTGGATCCTGCACAACCAAACCTATATCAAATCTCCTAGTTGCACCAATGACGTGTACAAGCACCTTCACGTTAGTGACCTCATCTCTTCCGATACCCTCGAATGGAATCACAACATCATTCATCATATTTTTGACGAAGCCACAACTAAAGACATCCTAGCCACTCCCGTTTACAGCCACTGCACAGATGACTCTTACGTGTGGAAATGGTCCAATGATGGATGCTTCACGGTCAGGTCTGCGTATAAAGCCATAACAAGCTCTCTCCTCCCAACTAATACTATGGACCCCGACAAAACTTGGAACATCATTTGGAGTCTTCCTATTCCTGCGAAAGTGAAACATCACACATGGAGAGTCTATAAAAATATCCTTCCTACCCGTGCCCAGCTTCAAAAGAAAGGTGTGAGCTGCCCCATCAGTTGCCCAAGATGTGATGTTGGTATCGAGAGTTCTTGGCATGCGCTGTTTGGATGTTATGATGCGAGAATTTGTTGGTTGGCTAGTAACCTAAAGGATAAGATGAGCTCCAACATTGATCAAGCTAATGGTACTTCTGATCTTGTGAACAAAATCCTTAATCTTTGGTCCAAATCTGATGCGGCTGACTTTTGCATGATGATGTGGAGTATCTGGACTAGCAGGAATAATCTCTTATGGAAAGATATGCCTTGGAATACATTGGAAGTTGTCCACCGTGCCCGTAACTCCAGACAAAATTGGACTTTGGCTAACCAGCGGCCTCTTGATGCTAGAGGTATTCCTGGTCCCACCCCGACTACCCAATGGTCTCCCCCACCCCATGGTTCATACAAGTGCAATTTTGCTACATTCCCTAACCCTGATGAGAATACATTTGGAATCGGTCTCTGCATTAGAGACAGCTTGGGTTCCTTTGTGGGTGCACGTACCCTCAAGATCCCTGGTCTTCCTCCTGCCAGTATTAGAGATGCTATTGCTCTCATGCAAGCCATCATTTTGGCTTCGGAAAATCAATATTCGCCCATCCTCTTCGAGTCCAGTAGTAGCAGAATTGAAAATTTTCTCCTTCATCCCAACCTGAAGGATAGAACTGAATTTAGTGACATTATGAACCATTGTAGAAATAAGATAAGTTCTTGTGCCAACTTTAATGTAAGTTTCACCCATAGATCAGCTAATTTGGTGGCTTCCAACCTTGCAAAGGCCTCCAAATGTTATGCTAATCTTAAGGATTTTGCATACATCCCAAATTGTATCTTCTCTCTTTTTGTTAATGAATTGAGCTAAGGCTCAGCTCTTCAAAAAAAAAGTATTTGTTGTTAGTAAATAAATAAATACTACTCTATCCTCCTAAAAATAAATACCAAAATACTCTAAAATAAATATTAGTGATTAAATACTAAAATGTAGAAAGAATTATTATCGATGATTTTTGGGTTTGGGACAAAATGGCATTCTTGATGAGCTAGAAGAACTTCACCCAACAAATCTTCATAGTTTGTAGACCCAAATACCAGTATTGGGTTCTTATCTAACGAAGCAAGGTCTCATTCGGCGAGCGTGATGAATACAATGAACACGATAAAGATTAAAAGAGTGTGAAAAGTTCACGTGAAATAGATAGAAGACAAAAAATAAACTAAATAAAAAAAAATGAAAGAGGCAGTTATAAGATCAATTTAGTAAAATGTTGACCAAAAAGAGATATTATCTATTTTATTATTATTAGTGTAAAAGTATTGGTCATAGATTATAAAAATTATAGAATTATAGATTATAGATTTTTTTTTTTCCTTCAGAATTATAGATTATAAATAGTATGCAGTATGCTACACATTCCATCGGTCTATATTAAGAGAAGAATTTGTTACTGGAAACAGCATTAATGGCCCAAAACGGGAAGAGGCTTTAGTGTGATTCGTGAAGGCCCATGTAAGTAATCAACAAATTGGATCAAACCATTTGAAAGAAGTGCTTACGTGTCAAATGTCCATTGGTTCAGATGACAAACGCCAAACCGAGACTTCTCATATAAAACGACAATCCCAACACACACACAGTGTCGTAGTTGTAGCGGCGAAACTGAGATCATAGAGAGAACCAAGCAGGAGATGGCCAAAACGACGTCGTTGCTGCTCTGTACACTGCTCCTCTTCGGAACCCTGGCTCTCATCCAGGTCTCAGTTTCCCTATTCAAATTTTAGATTTGCTCCGATCTCTCTGGGATCGAGGGAATGGGTGCAACAATTGAGCTTGAGATCGAGATTCATTTTTCTATTTTATCAGAGGAAAAATCTGTTATATCTTTATTTTTTTTAAAAAAAATCCATGTTATAGAATTTATTTGAGTTGCAATTGGGTGTGGTAAAAATTTTAATTTTTAATTTTTAATTTTATTCAATTTTGTCGGCAATGTCTGGTTTTACAGGCGAAGAAATCGTCGGAGGATTTGAAGGAGGTGACTAACAAGGTTTACTTTGATGTTGAGATTGATGGAAAAGCTGCAGGTCTTTGAACTTATTTAATTCCTCGTTATGCCTTTTATTCAGTCGTTGTGTTGTGTGATTGTGTCCTTGTTTTGCTTTCCTTTATACGATTCTAACTTTGAAGTTAGGTGATGGATGATTGAGTGAGCTTATTTCTGCTTAGAGTAAGCTTCTAATATTCTAATTGAGTAATGGTGCACACAAACTTTCACACAAATCAATTCCCGTGACCAAATATTTAACTTATTTTAAAGAAATACTATCTAACCTATAATGGAAGGGATAATGATTCAAAATAGGTAAAGTATTGGTTAAATAAGTTTGATATTCATTTAGTGGAAGTGGTTTTGGATTTTGTGGAGATGTGAGAGGAACTGGTAGTGTGCGTGTGAGTGTGTAGATTCTTTTCTTATTAATGAATCCTTATAGCAATCCTAAATTATCAGAATTCCCTATTTCCCTCTATATGTAAAATTGGTAGGAAGAGTAAGAGTCTAGGGAGAACTTATCTCTGCTTGGGAATTGATTGGTGAGCAACATTTTCATTTTGTTAGACAGTTAGAGGTATAGTTTTCCCTTTTTTCCTTGATCCAGTATCCTCATGGTAAAGCTTTAAGTTAACCCTCAGGCTGGGGATGGTGGCTAGTTAAAACCCACCCCAGAATTGCAACTAACATTACAAGTAAAATTCAGTAATTCACCGGTGTCACATTTCACATCTACTATAGTTGATAAATAAGTTGGTGTTTCATTATTCCTTTCCCCCAGAATTTTGAGTATCAAAATTTGACCTTTGGTATTTATGCTGTGATAACTGATTTTCCAGGTCGTATTGTGATCGGTCTTTTTGGGAAGACAGTTCCAAAAACTGCAGGTACGATTTCCAGATTCTCTGCATTTCAATTCTAATCGATTACCATTGTTAACATTAACTGAAGCCTTGTTTTTATTTCTCTTTCTGCAGAAAACTTCCGAGCTCTTTGCACAGGTTAGCTTGTTTCTGCTGCTTCTATGTATTGTTTTTATCATATAAGCAGAGGATTTGTTTCAATCCATTTGTTGGGTTTCATCTTCAGCTGTGTTGCTGAAATAAGTAAATAAATAGATTCACCCAAACAAGGACAGATGTTTGAGTCTAATAACATTCCCTCCTCCCTTGTTTAATAACATTAGATAATGATATCACTGTTTGAGTTTATAAGGTGATTATTTTCATCTTACAAATTAAAATATATTATCTACTTAATTTTACATTTTTATTCTTGTTTTGTCCATATTATTAGGCGAAAAGGGAACTGGTAAAAGCGGAAAGCCTCTTCATTACAAAGGTAGCTCATTCCATAGAATTATTCCTAGCTTTATGATCCAAGGAGGTGATTTTACGCATGGCAATGGAATGGGTGGAGAATCAATTTACGGAGAGAAGTTTGCTGATGAGAACTTCAAGATAAAGCATACTGGACCAGGTAATATTCTTCTATTTTCTCCTTTTATAGTTATACACTTATAGTTGTGTGATGAACATAAATTCAAATGAACCTATGATGGGATTAAATTTTTTTTTCTATTTTGGTGTGAACAGGACTTCTATCAATGGCAAACGCTGGTCCTGATACCAATGGTTCACAATTTTTCATTACAACTGTGACAACTAACTGGTAACTAAATCTACATCAATAACTTAATATTCGTAGTGCTTAATACTTTTGTGAAGGTCTTTATTTCTGGTAATCTTTTATGCAGAATGTATAGTGTGACTTAAGATATATGAAAGAGTTTCTTTGGTATTTCATTTGTCATAAGTTATTGTCATGCATTAAGAAACTACTAATTATTAATGACTTAATATATATCTATGATAGGTTGGATGGAAGGCATGTTGTTTTTGGTAAAGTTCTTTCCGGTATGGATGTTGTTTACAAGATTGAAGCTGAGGGAAGGCAAAGTGGTACTCCCAAGAGCAAGGTTGTGATTGCTGACAGTGGTGAACTCCCTCTATAAATGCACTTCTCAATTCTCAACTTGGACCTGTTGAAGGTGTTCCCAGTTTTCATTTCAATTCCCTCTACGAGACTAATTATCTTTTATAAGCATCTGCTAATAGGTTAATGGTTAGTTGTATGTTTGTGATACCCCCAGTAGATGGAGTTTCCCCCTTAATTATAAACGAAAAATGGCATTTGTGAACATGAAATTTGTAGAGGAAAATCCTAGTGAACATGTCTGTCAAAGATAAATCATAGCCCTTAATGTGGAAGTATGTTGAACTAGGAAAAAAAATGGACACAAAATCGACTTATGTTCTGCAGTTATAGTGGATGGTTAAAATTGGATTCAAGTAATTATTCATGTATAATTTTAGCATTAAGATGAAACTTTTTCCACGATTTTATTAAACGTGAGAATAGTGATACTATCTGAATTGGATCAATTGTTTTAGTCCTAAAAATTGGTGGAACAAAAAGTTGTTGTTTATAACTACTGGAAATGGCTGGCAAATTTAGTTTGAATTGGTCTTAATTTTGTATAAAAAAAATATTTTATAGCTAGGTTCGTGCATAGCATGATACTACGTATTTATATTCTAAAATTATTTTTTAAAACATTCTCTTTTGAACAATTTTACTTTTTTATTGGGTGAAATTTATTAAAAAATTATAAAAATCTTAGTTTCACATTCTATTTAATAGACTTTAATTATAATTTTGTACTTTTTAATAAATTTTAACAAAAAGAAAGTGTTCAAGAGTGTTAGAATTTTTTTCCTTGTGATGTTTAATGTGGTTTTTGTACGCTAATACAAAATTTTATATAACCACTGAACATCCTTAAAACATATTTCAAAAATACAATGTGTATACGGTGAAAATCAAATTATTTTGTCCACATTTTTTTAAAGTTACGAAAAGTATAAATTGATTTATCTAAACATAATATTTTAAAAAAGGAGATTTAAATCAATAATGCAATTTTCAAACATTGCAAATTTCTTGAATTGTAATAATTGTACATCCAATTACAATGCATTTATCAACTCGAATTTTAGATTTTAAATCCTAAACTTCCAGAACTGAAAGAGTTTATTAAATTTAAAAAATAATATTAAGAAAATTTATAAATGACATATTCTTAAGTTATAAAAGACGTGCTCTTTTCAAATTCAAATATAAACAAGGATGAATTGTATTTTTTTATTTTTCTATTTTCATTCATTTGTAATTTTTGTCTTCTTAGTTTTTAAATAAAAATATTTAATCATTCTAATTTTAAAAATATAGAATTTAAGCTCACTTGTCAAATTAACATCTATTAATTATTAAATCTCAATATTTACTTATAATTAAATTATGTAATATATAGCGGTGACATAATATTTGAAAATAAAAAAAATTAAAATAAATCATACAAATGAAATTTATTAATAAAATAAATATCAATTATTTATTAAAATAAATATAAATAAAAAAAATTTATAAGTTATTTTTTAAATTTTTATTCTTATATGTCATATTATTAAATATCATATCATTAATATTATATCAAATTGATGGTAAGACTAGAATTTTATATTTTTAAAAATAGGGTGACTAAATGTCTATTTTAAAATTACAAACTAAAATACAAATTAAAAAAAACTGAGACTAAAAATGTAATTTAATCAATAAAAAACAACTAAATTTATGCTTAATATGAAAGTTAATCGGCATCATTTAATTTCATATCTTAATTAAAATATTTTTTTTCTTAAATTAACCTTCATGAGAAATCATATTTAAAAAAATTCATTGAAAATAAAATCTTGATTAAATAAAAGACATCTTGGAGATATTATCATTAAATATGCATAAAATTAGTTTGATTCATTTATATTTTAGAACATACATTTTTATTTTGCTTATATTTGAATTGGATGAAGTAGATATTAACATAATAGTCTTAATACATTACTATTGTCAAACAAATCATAATAAGAGAAATGATAATTGTAAAATAAATTCGTTTTGTACAACACTTTTTTTTTTCTTCATCGAATCACGTGAAGATGGGTTAAGTCACAATTTTAAAATACACCAAAGTTCCAAAGAATTAGGTTTTATCTATATTAATAATAAAAAGGATATTCTCTTATATGAATTTATTGGGAGAGTTCAACCTCTTTAATAGATTTTAATATTTTAAAAGATTACTCTTTAATTTTCAGCTAAGAAATACTCTTATTTACCGAAATATGTATATATATAGAGTTATAATAATATCGGTGTAACTTTTACTAAGTATTACACCTCTCAATAACTTTATATTAAATGCGAAATTTGTAAATTCAACCACTAAATTGAAAGTTCGTATCACTTAGATCATATATACAAAATTTTATATTAATCCAAGATAATTTAATACTTCATTTTTATAAAACAAAATTGATGTAATATATTCATTTCAAAATATACTAAAATATGAACACTTTGATCACCTTTAAATTGTTGTTCAATTTTAACAAAATTTGATATACACATATAAAGTAATATGAACTTTCAATCTAATGGTTGGACTTACAAAATTCACATTTAATATAAAGTTATTGAGTAGTGTAACACTTAGTAAAAGTTACACCAGTGTAATTATAGCCCCTCGTATATATATTGGGCGTATATATATATATATATATATATTCTTTTTGGGTATACACATTTTCTGTACTAATTTATCTTTATGATTTTTCTCTTTCAATTTCACCGTAAACTTTCCACTTCTTACAACTTTCAAGTAAATTTTTTTTTTTTTTTACTTTATATTGTTTTATTTAAAAAAAAAAAATTGAGAGATACGGAGTGTCTTATTTTTCCTTAGTGTTCATATAATATAATTATCAACATTAACACTAATAATAGATAAGTGAAAACAATGGAGCGTAATGGACTCGCAAGCTGAATGGATCATAAAAAGCTTCACAAATGAAAACATGCAAGAGGAAGGTTGTTAATGGACATGGTTATGGTAAGTTAGAATATTTTTAGCTTCATTTTAAAAAAATTATATATATATGCAAGAGGAAGGTTGTTTATTTTTACTTTTGATAATTAATGTATGTTTACTGAACAATGTGTCTATTCATTTTCTAATGTACCTATTTCTCCTCTAACCACCCAAAAGATATAGCAGTAAAATAGGTAATAAATACTTTAAAAAATTAAAACATCAATCATTTTCTTAATTCTTATGCATAACCAATAAAAAAAGGGGAGGGACTATAATGGTCAGATGATATATCGACTTATATGACATGAATTTATGTGTTGATAATAATTAATAAATAATAAATAAATTCTCATCTAGAACTGACACAAATGAATTGAATACAAATCTATATAGAGATACTGACCGGTAGCCATCTGTTAAAACGGGTGCATCACGTTAATTCAGGAAGAAAAGATGCAATACCCACGTCAAATTTAAGCCAGAGCAATTCTAGACCTTTTTAATTTTTAGCTTTATAAACTGAATTTTTTAAATCAAAGCAATATCGTAGAAGCTTCGCAAATGAATCATGGAACTAAGGGAGAGATGGAGAGGAATGACAAGAAACATCCTAGTGGAAGGTTATTGATCATTCAATGTAATAGAATTGAGAACCAAAAGCATTGGGCCTATTTCTTAAAACGAGTTTGAATTTAACTCAGACGTAAAGCTTGCAGAATTAAACATACGCAAGTAATCCAAAATGGCTCAATAACAAGGGACGCAATTGACCAAACAACCATTAAAATAAACTTTCATACCATCTTAAAATTTGGGCTAGGACTTTAAAATTTAAATATCTTTACATATTCATGTATGTACACCTTTGGGTCATTAGCCTACTCTGGAAATTTAATTCTGACTCGTACGACCAGACTCAATAGAGCTACAGGTTCTACATGATATGATAGACCCAAGATCTAGCTTGGCTAACAAATAATAATGTACATGTCAATGTCACGTCTCTAATTTATTTATTTATAGCCAGGCTACTCATCTAAATATTGTACAACAAAATGATGCACTTGGCTCGTGCAACATGCTTAATCATTACTATCACTGTCACTGTTTTCCACAAAGCTATACTCTCTGCATCCGTTGAGTTTAATCAACACAGTTCCCCGGTTCTCTTCAGTCCATTCAATTGCTTCTCTATCTAAAAGGCTTATAATCTGTGTTAAGCAAATGACAAGACACCGCCATTTAGAAATAGTTTTGGTAGGATTTAAACAAGAAAAAATAAGTCAATTTCCTTGTAGCAACCAAGTTCCAAAATATAAGCCAACATGTATATTCATTGAACACTATGTTTCACTACATATCAAAACATAAAAGATAGGATAGAAGAGGGTGGATTAAACCATACTGATTGTTTCAGCTTAGACATTCCAACACCATGTGATCCACATCCTGTAATAACCCTTAGTGTCTGGACAGCTGAATGCAATGGGAAAAAGTAAGCAAATAAAATGCAAAAGCAAATGCAATTGCAATTGCAATTCAATAATGCAATTCTATTTTAGTCTAATGTCATGAGATAATGTGAGAACCTAGATCCTCAGAAAATGCTTACAGGGAACATATGATCCAAACAGAAGGTGAAGTTTCAGCATTCTCATTGCTTGTTTCACGTGCTGCCCATGTAAATCAATGGTTATCACATTTTCTATGCCCTTGTTTCTGCATATATCACTAACAATAGCTTAATACACAATAGGAAGAAAATGTGAAAAAGGAAGTTATCTGGCTTTGGACTTAATGCACCAACCTAGCTACAAAAATATCATGGCTGGCCCTAGTGTCAGCTTTCTGAGCTAATTTAGTTTGTTCTTTTCCCTAATCAAACAGAGAAATAGTTAGCATTATATAACAAGGTGGCACATACTAAAGGATCTGACAAAATACAGGTAGTGTACATGTAAACCACCACAAAATAAAAGTAGTCAGTTTCCAACCAATAGACCTTGAAAAGGAATAGACTAGACACGGTTGTATTTGGATCATAACCCGATCTTATCATATACTTTAACATATAAAAGGGGATTAAAAAAAAAAAGAGAGAGAGAAAAATATAGAGAGAAAAGGAGAAAACATAGGAAAAAATTCAGACAAAACCTTCCTGCCAAGATAGACCAATATTTAGGGGGGGGGTGTCTCAATACAATTTGCTTGCTATAACGTAAAAGATAAAATTACACCAAAATTGATGATTGGTACAAAATAAGTGTCTTGTTTTTCACTCAAAATCCCATCGTTCTTTTCAAAGAAGAACGAACCTGTTCAGAAAGATACGCAGCATAAGCTCGATCCCCTTTGGTATACGCTGTTGCAGCCTGCAAAATAATGTCACCCATGTATGTTCTCAACTGATACTTGAACTACATAGCAAACCGACTTAAAGAACACAAATTGAAACAATCCCAGGAAAAGGCCAAATGTGAACTGAATTTACTTTCTTATAATAAGATTTCATTGAATCGTAATGCTGCTGTGAGTCTTCCCTAAACACATGATATTCATCTCCTTTAGCTACAAATGAGGTAAGCAAAATAAGTAAATGAACCGTCATGGTTCAAATTCGATAGCCTCAAGGAAATAATCAAATTGAATCATACAAAAATAAAAAATATATATAAACAACTAAATACATGATAAGATTGATGACTTTGGAGTAAATGAAATTCATGGTTGAATAGCTTTGAAATTCTCCATTCCTCATTTTTTTTAAGAATAAGAAAATTGAATAGGCCACCAACGCCAAGGAGTAGTGCTTTCAACTAGTACAGGTTGTCAGGACAGTGTAAACACATACTCTGATAATTAGTTAATTTTAACAGAACTTATAGTACTTTCTTAGAAATATAACATTAAATACTTTTACTTATTTCCTAATTTGATGCTTTGATCTCTTTCCCATTTACCAATAATATATCACTGACCCAATTTTTCCTCCAATTTGTTTAGCATTTTACATTTTTTATGAATAAATTTATTTCATATTTTACTCTATACCAATTCCTAATTTTTTCTAAAGAAAACCATTGAAAACGAGACAGCACAAGCATTGCTTGAATTGTGTTGCTCTTACTAATCAAACTCAGAGACCAAGCAAATCAAACTCAAAAACATTTTTCTGGCCATATTCAACAAGATCCAGACTTTTTCAGTCAGATCCAACCTTTTCTAGCAAATTCTACCAATGTACTGTAGCAGAGGTAATCTAGCCAAAAACACTCGATGTATCCTCCTTGCCCCGACTCAGTTTGCTCAGGATGGCAGGCCCCCAAGCCACCTGGCCACACCATATGGACAAGTAACTCAACCATATGAACTTCTTTAAGCCTTAAAGTGAGTGAATTGCAAGCCAGCATGCTACGTAAGACCAATGACAAAGTCCCATTTCAAATCAATGATAAAAAGTAAAACAGAATGAGAAATGAGCATGCATCATATTCACAAAGGCACTAACCAACGATTACTATTCAAGACATGCAATATGCAAATAGATGCAAGTAAAAGTATTTCAAAAATTGCCATTATGTACCATAAGTACATTGCTGAGATTCTGCAACATGTTGAGAAGGATTGAACCTAGGTCCCAAAGACTGAATTTGCTTTACTACATTTCTCCAATTCATGGTATCTTTGCCATGTTCAGTGCTTTTGGGAATGTTAAACAAAGACTCCAACACCTTCTGAGGAATATCAGAAGCCTTCTGAGGAATATCAGACTTTGTATATCCTGAGCTAACAGCAGAATCAGCTTTAGAACTAGAGAGGACCTCCACATATTTCCTAAAACCAAGAAACAACTAATCTGGTGGAGTTAGGTTACAAATACCAAGAACATTGATTAAGTGGACATTGGGATTCAGATGCTAGGTGTAAACATAAACTAAAAGCAAATACTACAATAGGAGGATATCGAAGAAACAGGCAACCAAAATTAAAAAATAACAAGTTCTATTATCAACCCCTATAAATTAAACATTAACATCCTTCATGTGCGAGAATGTTTTTAGAGACTTTTTTTCGACAAGAGGTTTTTTAGGGTTTCTTTTAACTTTTTATCTAATTTGATTTTTATTTATTATAATTATTTATAATCAAATTTTAAAATTTTAAAATAAATTATCGATAAATAAAAAAAATATTGTGATACAATATAAATTATTTATCATAAATTTAAAATATAATTTGTGTTTGAAATTATCTATTTATACAAATTTTAAATACAATTTATATATTCAAACATAGTATTTATTTGTATACATAATTTATTATAAATTTTAGTCATATATAATAAACATTTAACCTATGCAATGTACAAGCTAAAATACTAGTTCTTATTTATTTTGGTATAATAATTGTGTTGAGCTTTGAACCTACAACAAGGAAACTACCCATGCCCCTCACCATTAACGCAATCTTATATTATTAATTCAATCTGTACAAAAGAGGCTTGTGTATTTTTTGTTTCAAGGGTATATCTCAGCCTCCAGGGATTGTGCTAAGATTATGGCACAGGTACGTGATTGTATTTACCACAATTCAATACAAGGAGTTGAGAATGATAATGTTTGGCTTGCTAAGGATAATTACAACCCTAATAACAGGATTTCAACCAAATGATTGTACCCTGAATAGTTGTATCATATTCAGTCACTTAGAAACATGAAGAATACAAATGCACATGTAAAGATTACTGCCAACTAAAATTTTAACCTTCAATAATTTTATTACCAGGTTACTTTAGCAGCTAAATATCATGATATGACAAAACAGATTAGATCACCGAAAGATGTTTAGATCAGCGAAAGATTATTTACAATAGTCATTTCCTTTTTTTTGGAAGGAGGTGCATCATAAGAGATAAATGAGAAGAAAAGGTTATAATTTATTGACTCTAGCACGAACTGGCAGCATGATAAATACATCGATATAATTTACCTGCCAAAAGATCCGACAGGCCATAGATTATCAGAAAGATCACCATCTGATGAAAGAGACGTGCTCTCTGATCTCCTATCTATCAACTGTGACAAAAATTTGGCAATTAATACTATGTACAGCAAGAACACACCTCCAAAATCGACAGTTTTGCAACACTGTAGAGGTGAATAGACAAATAATATAAAAAGCTATATGATACAACTGCAGTAGCTTAAGCACATTACCGAACTTTTTGGAAGAGAACACATGACCAGTTCAAAGATCAAAACAACTACAAATTTGAAACGAATGGTAAACAAAATTCTATCCTGCCACTTACATTGTCATTGGGGTCAACAAGGAATCTCTCATCATCTATGTTGTCTACTCTGTAGTTAGGATGTCTACCAGTACCGGATTTCTCAATAGTGGATGCAGCTAAATCAAGCAATACATCTGAGGCCTGGAAAATCATATTTACAGCTAATCATATTACAAAACTAGCATAACTTTATTTGATTAGTGTAGCTCCTTAAAACTCCTGTAGACATGTAAAACAAGATCCGGCAACACCACTACTATCCATTTGCACAAAATGTCCATGGAATTAAAACGAAGTAAAGCTAGAATATCCACACATAATAGCCACAAACTCAAACAAAATAGCAGTGGGATACGAATAGGGACTTGGGTACTATAGGGTGCCTAAGTCTCACATCAAGCAGTATGGGATGCCAAGTGAATAGTTTAAGAGCTTGGTTCTCGCCCCTTAACAGTTAGCTTTTAATCACATACAAACTTAAGAAATACAGATACAACACAATAAGCAAACATGATACGACATGACCAAGGGACTCGTATCATAAATTTTAAAAATCATTGGAAACAATAAGGCTATGACACAACATGTAAAAATATAAAAGGAAAATTTTAAACTACTAGAGAAAGTATGAGTCATTATAAGTACATAATAAAATGCTAAAATTTATCTAATTATTGCAGTATTGGTACAGAAATTAGAGTCTGTGCTAATAATAAATGAGGACTAACATTTTGACACGACATGACTAACATTTTGAAGTCTGTGCATACCAAATAAGGAAGAAAAAAAAATTATATTTACCAAAATATTGCTCCGTTTTTATTCTGTTTCCGGTTTCCCAAATTCTATTTAGTTCAGATATGAAGTATATATTACGTCTAATTGAAAGCCAAAAGACTTGGGACAAAGAATCATTAAATTAAGAATTGACAACAAATCAACATTTAAAAGAAAAGGCATTTTTGACCTCACTGTTAATAAACAGACGTGTAGAATAGTAAGATTCAACAGTAGCATTTAGGTGGGGCCGCATGAAGCAGTTAGGTAAGAAGAAAAATTGCTGCTTCATTAATGAAAGTTCCATAAAAAGGAAAAATTAGCACCAAAATATTGTCTCCCAATTCATATTCAGTTAGGACATCATGCCAAGATTTTTGTATTAAAGAAGACTTGTGAGAAAATAAGAATATAAAACAGAGAGGGGATGAGATGAAACCAAAACTAATATATCAACTTCAACTCAAAAGTGATCTCCAATCAACCTGTAAATTCCATACATAGACCCCACAAAACACAAACAAAAGACGAACAGGGGAGAACCATCCTGCTCTAAACATATGCAGTTATGCACCACAACAAAACCATCCTGCTCTAAAAATATGCACCACAACAAAACCAACAAAAAGAGCACAAACAAACGACAATAAACTTTTTTGAGTACACAGACAACAATTAACTAAAAGTAACAAGTGCAAAATTAAAAACAGTACACTAACATCAAGAGTTAAGGACATAAGTGAAGTACAATCTCATATTGTCATCATACCTTTTCAATATCATATCCACACTGACCTGCATGCAAACACAGATTCCAACGTCAAGAAATAAATAATAAACCAAAAGAAGCTTATCTCCTAAACAAAATTTCATAATTCAAAATCTCATAAAAACAAGTATACAATTTTAGCTTGCTTTAATGCACAAGCAAAGACAAAAAGTCTAAAACTAAGATCAAATCACCTGGTAATCTCTATTGACATTTAATTAAAATTCTATAACATAAATTACCAAGGTAAAATTTCAATTCTGACAACAAAAAAAAGTACCAGAAACGTCTATGAAACTGCACATAAGTTTTGTCCAAAGACAAATCCTGCATCTATCCTGATCAAGTTTCAACATACAAAATATAAAATTGAAAAAGAGAGAGAGAGAGAGAGAGTCAATTACTCACAAAAAACATCTCTAACAATAGCCAAGTTAAGATCACAATCATTCCCCAGCATAGAGCAGAGGAACTGCTCTGCCTCCTCCATGTCAAAAACTCCTCCATTACCACTAAACCCCTTGTCCCTCACGTTGTCCCTCCTCACATACTCCTTCCCCAAAACCGTTGAAACAGTGCCAGTTGAAGCCACCACCTTCTTCTTCTGCCTCCCGCCTTTGAAGCACCCCAAATCCCCCTCCCCCTTTGACCCCAATTCCGACCCCATGGAACCACCACCACTGCACGAAGAAGAAGAAGAACACGAGAAAGAATCTTCGGATCTGTCCACAAAACCCTTTCTTAGGATCTCCGAAGCCTTGTTGGGATCGCCCCTTGCAATGTCATAGGCTATGGAAGCTTCCTTCACAGAGGACAAGGCGAAAGCCTCCACCAATGCCTCCAAAACCCTCTCTTTTGTCTTCTCTTCTTCGTTTCCGTTATCAACAACAACCCCTTTTTTCTCCACAATCTTCTTCTGGGGCTTTGGCCTCTTCTTCTTCCTCGGGTTCTTCATCTGTGGAACACGACAAAACGGATCTGGGGGTGGCAAAGGAACGGAATTTCAGAGGAAAACGGGGTCGGAGACTGGTTGTGAAGGTGAAAGGATAAATTTTAGAGAGGGAATGATTGATGGGTATGTAGGGAGGAACGGCATGGGAGAATCTGTAAGTTTCAGAGGAAAACCCAAAAGCCTAAGAAAAATGTATATATGTTTTGTTGAATTGAAAAGATATATCAATAATAGTTATTTTGTAGATTTAGTAAAGTGGATAATAAATTGTGCTAACCTTAAAAAAATTGGATAATGAGGAATTAATTAATTTTTCTTTTATTTTTAGATTTTTTTATACCAAAAAGATTAATTCTTTTTATATTATTAATCAATCTTTAAATATTAAATATAAATAATTATATTACGTTTTTAGAAAAAAAATTTAATTAATTAATTTATAAAAAGAATTAACTTCTTTTTCAATTTAATTTTTATTTATCATAACTATTTATGAATTAAATATTAATATTTTAAAATAAATTATCAATAAAAAAATTTGCTACAATATAATTTTTATTATAAATCTAAAATATAATTTATACATTTAAAAATATCTATTTATATAAATTTTAAATAGATATCAAGAGTTTTGAAGAGGAATGTCCAGGAAGAGATTAGGAGCGACTTCCACTATACATCAAGAGTATTTTGATTAACGCAACGAGATATAGGAGAAAAGGAATTATTTGTATGCAAAGTCATATGAGGAAATTGGGTAGAGGAGAAATCCCGTAAGATTATAGGTAATTTTATAAATATTTCTATTTAAAAAATTGATGATTTAATTAAATTTTGCATGTATTGAGGAGTAAAAATATGCAAACAATTTGTAAAAATGATGATCTGGAGAGATAACGAAATTGTAAAAAAGTGTCTCTAAGTTAGGTTTTAGAAAAATTAGAGTTTTATTATTTGAGTTAAAATTTTATAAAATTAATGATTCAATCAGGTTTTATATTAATTTATAAATGTGATTGTTATATTATTTGGTAAAATTGATGATCTTGATGATAAATGGATTTATTGGATGTGCTCTGTAATTTAGGATTCTTGTAGATTGATGAACACCTTTAATTATATGAATTAATAAGTAATTGAGAGATTTTACTTATGGAAGTACCTTAGTATTTTTGTAATATCTTTATGTGTAATTAACAAAATCAATTTTTGTTTGTTGCGTTAGAAAGTAGACACTTGGGGCTATAATTAAGACTCTTGAATCGTGTAAAATGTTAAGAATTGATTGGGTTATGTGAGTTATAAATTTAGTCTCCATTCTAGTGCGTGAAAGATTAAGTTTTGTGTTGTCAGCCATGCAAGGTGACCTTAACAACATTTTTAGGCTTTGTGTTATTCACAGAAGTTGTAGCTTTGGGTGTTGGATTTCGAATGGCTTTATAATCACTCAAAAAGGATGTCTAAAACTCTAGTTATGATTGTTTTGATGAACAAGGGTCAAGCTATCAGCGTGGATTATATCTATTTTAGATTTTGAAATTTTTAGCTAAATAGATGATTTTTTTAGAATTTCATGTCTTCATAAGAGTTGTAGGTTATTCTCTTATATTTATTTTTGAGATATGTTTGGGCTTATTTGGATGAGTATAACTCTCCGTGTGTTGTTTTCTTTGATAGTTGTCAAAGGGAGATACATATTATTTTGATGTTCTAAGGTGTTATCATGTGGATTAAAAATTGGTTTAAAGTTGTATGATATTATGTTGTAGAGTTAGTTCATGTATGTATGATGATGTGATGTGAATTCATGGTGAATTGCATGAGGGGTATGTGAATCATTGTTTTGTGTGGATATATCTATATTGTGTATGTGATGTGGAATTGAAATATGAACTGTGATGTGATGATTGTGCACAATTGTATGCGTGATACTAGGCCACAAAGGCGTGCATGTGATACGGTGCTATTTATATGTTGTTGGGGCATGGTCGTATGTGTGATGCGTCAGGTACAATCGTATGCGTGATATTGTTGTTGGTAGTGGAATACATTAGCACAATCAGGTGTGTGACACGATGTTGGACGTGTGATGCATTAGCAGGGGCGTGTACGTGATCTGGTGTTAGATGTGTGACACGATGTATATGTGTGAAATGTTTATATGTACATATGTGAATTGTGATAAATAAATGGAATGTGATTGACTTGAGGATTGATGATATTATCATGCTTCAATGATAAATTTTGTGTGTGTATTATATGACATTGACTTTGTTCGTGGGAGTTCTCTAATGTGTTTTTCATATAAATGCCTTCTTTTCTTAGCGTATGTTTTGTGGTTGTTTTTAGGTGAGAAAGATTCGGACATGAGTGACATGCAAGGTGTCAATAGTTGAGTCATGGGATTGCTCGGATAATATGACATCAGGGCAAGGGGTTTTAGATTATTCATTTTATTGTAATTGTATTTTATATTTTTTTTGTTAGTTAAATCTATGAAGTTATATTTTATAAATATTTGTTTTAAATTATTTGGCCATTAGAAGTATTTTAATTGTGAACCATTTTACCAGAGTTGGGGAACTATTTCTTTATATTTTTATATTATGTGTTGGGGTAGAATGGGTGTTATAGTCGCTCAATCCTTTCTCTCCTGTTTCTTTTACTCTTTAATGACAACTATATTCCTCTCTTCTCCCAAATATTGAAAATGGATGATGCTATTTGTTATCCTTTTTGATTGCTTGCAGTTATCAACAACATCCAAATGATGGCTTATGGTTCTCGAGAACAAGATCCAGGTAATGTTATTCTTCTTATTTTTTGTATCTTTATTGTTTTCATTATGAGTAGTACAAATGGGTTTGCATGTTGTGAAAGTTTCTCCCTTTATCATGAAGAAGAAGATTTATACTTCATTTCTCTTCTTTTGTTTTCAATGGGGTATTTTTAGAGAGAAACTCATACATTCTTCTCTTTAAGCTTGAATTTTTCTTTTCACAAGTTGTCATTGCATGTCTTCTTTTCGACCCCTTCTTTTTGGTTCCATGTTGTAGGGTTGGAAATTTAAAATGTGCAAAAAAAGGGGAAAAATATAAGCATTATGTTGAGGCCAAAAAAATCACTTGAAACCCTTTGATTTGTCTGTAATCCACTCAACCCACTACCTGATCAAACCAATGTCTACGTCGGTTAAAAATGGATATGATTATGTTAGTGGTTGGGTTGGATCAGATTGGGAGTTTTAGACCTGAACTCGACCATTACTTAGGTCTACTACACTTAACAACTTAACGACTGATAGTGGAAGACGATTAGTAACTTAGAGTTATATGTCTACTGGTATCTGAACATGTATTATATATCATTCATATGAAAGTGAAGCAACTACACAAATATATATGATATAAATACAATAATCCAATAAAAGTAAATTATACAACCTAAGTTTTCAATCAAGCAATCAACTAGCTACTCTAAGGTAGCACAAAAAATTGGAATTGCAAATCTCAAAGTGGCTTCCAAAACAACTCCCATAGAAGCATATCCCTACTCTACTCCTATACCAAGTATGATCATCGCAATGCATCCACATGGAAACACACAAGGGTGAGTTAGAGTTTAAAGAAAAACATATATATTACACAAAGTATCAACAACATTAATATATCATCACATCTTCATTGCACTTCTTATCAACATGTAACATCACAACACACCTACAATATATATATATATATATAGGGAATGTTAATATACTCCCACCTATTTTTTAGTTAGAGTACGTAAGCAACTTACACCAAAATTTTAGGACAAAAAAATTACTCATTTATTTTAATTTGATTAATTTGTATAAAGGATATTATAGTAATTTAATTTAATTTAAATGAAAATAAAATATTTTCTTTTTTTATTAACTTCATTCTCTAAGTCATTTCTCTCTCCTATTAAATTCTTTCTCCAACTCATTTGTCTTTCTTATTAAATTATTTATCTCCTATTAAATTATTTCTTTAATTCATTTGTCTCTCATCTCTCATGATGCCTCCCCTCTCTCTGAACAAATAAAAAATTAGTTAATAAAAAAAAAAGAAATGAATTGGAGAATAATGTTAATAAGAAAGAGAAAATATTTTTTTTCTTTTAAAATTAAATTAAATTACTATAATATCCTTTGTACAAATTAACCAAATCAAAAGAAATGAATGATTTTCTTATCCTAAAATTTTGGTGTAGTTTGCTAACATACTCCAACTAAAAAATAGGCGGGAGTATATTAGCATTCCCTTATATATATATATAAGAGATTCTTTTACTCTAGGAGTAAGTCTGTCTAGATTTACTCTGTTCAATAACTCATGTTCTACAAAAATCATTTGATACTTCGTATCATTAATTCGAATCAATATATAAAACAATATCAACTAGAACATTACTATATCAACTAATCAATTTTTTTTTATCAAAACAACACAGTAGATACAACACAGCAACTACATGTGTCATCATGCATTTCAACTAGGAGATCTCTTACTACACATGGTGAATAGTCTAAGTGGTTTGACTCTACCGAACTAATAACACAAGGTGATCTTTTTAGGCTTACTAGATCAACAATAAATTGGATATCAATCCACAACACAACAACTTGGTTTCTTGGATATTACCACTTAAATAAGGAAGTCTAGTACTTACATCAGGCTAAAACAACTAGGTATGGGTCTACCATGATATTAGTTAGCTTAACTAAGTCTCTTATGAAATTAGTCCACCGACTACCTTTCAAATACTACACCCTTATAATACTCGGTTAGGAACTAAGTTCCTGACTTCATACTTTACTCAAGTGGTCACTTGTAATTAGTATAACTTGACATTGCCCCTATATTATATTCGCTTTATACACATATTCCTTTACCTTACCCACATACAATACCAACTAAGGTCCTAGAGGAGACTCAACTATTTGTTTCAAGGGTTAATTTTCAAGAAGGGTTTTCAATAAATTGGACTCTCGAAGCATCATAATACAATATCCACACAATGGGATATACAAATTTAAAACAACCTCTCCTCTAGCCCTAAGTTAATTAACACAACTTTCAATAGCATGCCTAAATGTCTAAAGTATTCTCAACATTCATCATCTCAGCAACATAACAACATCATGCTTAAAACATATTCAACAAAGCTACACCATCAACACA